AGGGTAAAGAAACAGTAAAAATGTACTTAGCAAAGGGTATCCCACTAGTCTCACTTGTTACATGGGAATGACTTGGCAACCATGAGGCAAGCACTATCCTTAACGGAAGATCAGATTCCAACGCCCCTGCTCTGTTCATCATTTTTAGCCTTGTGACTCCACAGGCAAGACTGTACACCTGTGCTGTGCAGGATCAGAGCTTCAGAGATCAGCTTTCAGATCTGAGTGAGAAGTGTTTTTTAGAAGCACTGCACGGAATTTGATGACACAAGCCTGGGAGATTGTGATGGCATTGGTCAAGGGGAAAAAAAATCAGACTGAGAATGAATGAGCGTGATGACTGCAGGCTACGCAGGACAATAGACAATCCTGAGTGACTACTTCAGAAAGCAGGATACAAGATGAAGTGATGTGTAAACACTCAAATCACATCAGAAATTCTTGTGGATATCTTAAAACTCCAAGGTAACTGGCACTTACCTCTACATAGCTGATACGAACCTGATACAGCTCTAGAACAAGAAAATAAAATTTAATATAGTTGAGGTTGATGAGGATGTCTGTTTGTCTTGGCAAAGAACAGCTCCTCTCACTCTACAGACACTATGAAAAGCAGTCTGGAGGGAATCATATACACTACTCAGTTATCAGCAGGTAGGATACATTTTAAATACTGCTAGTAGGAACCCTCTCACTCAGAAAACAAGAGAAATGTTTTTAAAATACTCTTTCAAACCCTGTTTTAAAACTCCACACTGAAATACTGACAGCCCCAGTACTTTATATATAATTAATATCTTTAATAGTTTCAGTGATCTTTAACTGCCTCTGCAGTTTATGTTGGATGCATGCGTATATTATGTTTTATAATCACTGAAGGCACACCCTGAGAGCTGCATTTGTTTCTGTGACAGAGCAGAACCAAAGATATTTCAGCATTGCTCTGATCTGTTTAGCCACTTTGTTGGTGTTAGCAGAAAAGAAGAAACAGTTTGCTCTTTGCAAAGAGAGTGCAGTAATCTTACCTCCTCCCTCTGTTGCAAAAAAAAACCTAACCAAAAGAAAACAAAACTACTACAACATATGTGTAAACAAATGCATTAAGTATCCTGGCTCTGTTAAGAGCAGGTCTCTCAAGACAAAACCTTCACCTTTCCTGTCTGTACTTTAGTGGAAGAAGGCAGAAACAACGTCCTGACCAATGACTTAATATCCTGGAGAAGAACATTTGGTTTGACACATCACTGAATACCCTCTGATGAATGTGTTGCTAACTGTGCTCATGTTCAGCTTCTACTTTGATCTGAAGCATGCTTAACTTTTAATTTCTCAGATATTTATAATGTGGGACCAAAGTGACATTAAGAAGTGAGATGTAACTGCTGTTTTTAAAATCATGGTGGTATATAAGCAGGCCACTTCCTGGAATTTAACATCTAGCTGAGAAAAACAGACAAGTACTATCAACGACAGTAAGAAATAATGTGTGCAGTATGATATGATGAATGTGGAATATGTTGAATTTTGAAGGGTAAATTATTTCATCTCAAATTATTTCAAGAAAATTTAATCTATTTATCTGAAAAAAAACAACTCCAGAAAAGACTGCAAGTGGCAAGTAAGACTGAGCAACTACACTTGTCAAAATCAATTATTGCCTCTCAAGTGTAGGAAAATGACAAATGAGCAATTAAGGATTGCTATTCTTTATTTAGAACTGAAAAAGAGAGAACTGAGTCTGCAAGAAAAAAATCTTAAGCCTTTTCTGCATGTTGCTTTGCTTCAAGTAAAAGTTCTGTGAATATGTAATAGAGAAGAAATGCCTTCTGCAAGGTATTCATCTCCAATATTCAGCTTTTTGGTTCCCCTGCAGACCTGCTATGTGAACCTTGTTAGGACAAGCTTATGTTAATTAGCCTGTGGGAAATACACAGAGGATTTCTGCAGCTGAGATTCCTTTTTCAGGCAGCTGGTAGGACTGATTTTCAACAAAGAAGAACTTTTAATACCCGGCAATGTTAAATATTCTGAGTATGAGGGAACTTGCTGTCACTAGAGTACTGACATAACACAAACAAGACCTTCCCTAGGATAGGATTTATGTATTGAGTCATCTCAGTGTGTGTGAATACGTGTAAAATCACAATCAGGTGAATAGCATGTAGGTAAATTGAGCTTCTGTGATTCCCTTACCTGTTTCAACAGGCCAACTATCATGGGTAGAAAGGACCGTGATGGGCAGGCTGTGGGTGTAGGCAGGATTGCCTAAGGGTCCCCACTCTGCTGTTAACGAAGAATTAAAAGGTGGTGTTAGTTGCACCAGAACTTGGCGGGGAAGATGATCCTTGGCCACCACAACTTTTACCTGCAAATGATGTTCTCCTTCAAAAGCTGTTAAGCAGGGATAAGTGTTGCTAACCCTGGGAACTGCGCAAGCACCTGGGAGGGCAGGCGGAGCCCGAAGGAGACGCGCCGGGAGGG